TGGGTTAATATGATGAAATTTGGCCTTGGAGTTGATATTTGAAAAAAAAAAAGAAGAGGAAATTTGCCCTAATTTATATTAAATAATTATTTTGTATAAATAATAGAATTGGTATGGAAAATGTGAAATTGGGAGGGTGCAGGAATGAATGGTGTAATTGGATTTGTTAAATCACTCACATATGAGAATTTGATAAATTATCTGTTATTTAGATTATATATCTATTTAGAAATATCTGTATTGGACTATCGATGGAGAATAGCTATGATTGTTGTAGAAATTGTATAAGGATTAGGATAATTGAAACTAATCATTTAACTATGTCATTGAATATGACGGTGTGTTGAGATATTGAATATGTGTAATTAAATGTCATTGAATATGACGATGCCTTTAAATATATCGTATGTGTATAATGTTTTGGGAGGAGAAAAGGATGTATTCCATTTCTTGGGAGGAGATAGGAGATGGACTCCATTGAAGATTAAGTTGGCCGGAGTATCCAAAGTGAAAGTCCCGAAATCTTATGTATACATAGGTACCGATCCCGCGGAAGAAATTTCTGTAAAATGACAAGATTGGAGTGTTTATATATTTGTTGTGTTGATTGAAAACCATTGAGTTGTAATCTCAGTTGGGTTATTCGGAGAGTTGTAAATTTGGCCTATGAGTTGAAATAAAATGAACAAATATGAAATGAATAAATTGGAATGGATTTAGATGTGAATGTTGGAATCGTGTAGTCATGTAAAGTAAATATGCTTTGGTTATAAGTGTTGAACATATATACACTTGACATTTATATCTTAGTTAAATCTCATATATTGTGATAAACTATTTCTACTAGGCTTTGGCTTACCCTACTCGGGAAACCATTTTTAGGTACAGGTGATATGCTTCCTCCAAAGACGTAGCTTGGGAAGACTTAGGAGCTGGAGGCTCTATTTTTGTTACTCTTGTATGTAATTATTTATTCAAGCCAAGGGCTTTAAATGTATAAAGCTTACAGCTCTCTTTTGTTGTAACCAAATTATATCTTTGAAATATGTAAGCCCGTAACGGCATCCATTTTGTTGTTTTTAACTAGTGTTAAACATTTATGAATGTATAATGCATATAATACCTTTTGTAACATGAACTCTAAAGAATGGAAGTATACCAATTCTATTATGTTCATATCTCTTTTGAGCTGGTTTATTTATATTATTTTGAGGGTGTTACACCTCTGCTCCTCTTTTTCTGTCGTTGTTGTCTGGTTCTCAAACTAGTTTGAGAGAGAAAAGAGAAAGGGAAGGAAAAGAGGCACACAAAAAAAAGGATCGTTTTGGCACTTCGAGCCATTTGAGGCAACCAATTTTGAGCTACCAAGCAAAACTATTTCAAAATATATAACTAAACAATATTTCAAATTTTCTAAACTTTCTTCAAAAAATTATTTTTGAAATAATATCTCAAAACACAAACCAAACAAGGTCACTTTCTTTCATATTTATTGGAGATTCGTAAAATTCTCTTAAAACAATTTAAATTTAATGCGATCTTAATCTTACCTACAATATATTGACATGAAAACTTTAAAATTAATCAACATGAATTTTGCATCAAACATTGCTCAACAATCAAACTGTTATGCTCCCTGTGACCAAAAATATATGAAAGGAAGTCCTAACTAATAAAGGTAAGTTACACTACCAGTAATTTGCTATAATTATATTATATTCCCTTCAAATTTTAATTCTCAAAACACTTCCAACACCTTTAACATGTGTGGCATTTAGAATATTTGAGATGTTTTTGCTTGGCCTCATCATAAAACGAAACTCAAATAAAAGAGGCAATATGGTAGTTATTGATTATTTGATGGTTGTATAAATAAAAAAATAATATTATCATATGATTTATATTAAAATGTACATTTATTCTTATTTGTTATTGTGTCTATTGATCATTTATATTAATTTTAGTCACTTTAGACTCTACTAGAAGAAATATCAACTATATTTTAACTAATTTTGGTTGACTTAGGTTTTTTTTTGTGAAATGATCATTCTCTTATCATAGTAAATGATGATTTTATTTACAATGTATTTTTTTATTTTTCACATTTTATACCATTTTTAGTGTCAACACTAGATTAGATAGATATGAGTGGTGAGATCCATTACATTAATAATGTATTGATATGAGAGATAATAACATTAAAAGTGATATAAAAATGGTATAGCTCTCATTTTTTAACCAATCAAACATTAAAATCAACCAAACACTATTGGAAGGATTATCAGCGTAAGAAGTTGTTTGAGATGTGCTATATAAATATACTTTTTTAATTTTTTGGCTAAAAATATAGAGAAAAAAATATATGTATGTTTGGAATAATTTTTTAACTTTTTACAAAAATATGTGTAGTAAAATATTATAATAAAATCAAAATGACCATTCTGTATATATTTTTGTTCTTTTTTGTATGTACTTTATGTAAATAAAAAAATAAAAAACAAAACAAAACAAAAATTTTATTATAAAATATACAACTTTTGTCACAAAAAATATTCAGCTTGTTTGGTTTTGGTTTTCAGAAAATTTTTCTTTTTTATTTTTCGTATTTTATTGTTTTTAATGAATTTTTTTAATATTTAAAAAAAATTATTTTATTTTTAGACACACCTAACATAAATACACTTAAAAAGTATAGTATTTGTAAAAAAAAAAACTTTAAAAAATTTACTAAATATCAAAAATATATATAAAAAATACTAAAATTCAATACATTTTTCATATTTTTGTGTATTTATTAATTTTTTAAAATATTTTTCACTAATAATTTACTATTTAGATACATTTAAGTAAGGTACATCTAAAAAAGTAAAAAAAAAAAAAACTTAAAATTTTAAAAATATTCACTAAAAACAAAAAAATAAAAAACTCAATTTACAGAAAACTAAATTCAGAAAACTAAAAGCAAACACACTGATTACTTCTTTTCTTCATCAAAAAAATAATTTTTTACTTCTCACAAAATATATAACTTTTATAATAAAAAAAATTTAGGTAGCATTTGGTAGAGTTTTAGAATTATGATTTGATAATAGAGTTGTATTTTGAATTCGTGAGTTTTTGAATTATGATTTGAAAAGAAAAAATTTATTTGGTTATAAGTTTTGAAAAGAATTTTAAATTTTTGATGTGATGTATTAAATGAAAAAAGTTGAGTTTTGAAAAGAGTTTTAAAACTTGATTAAAAAACTTATAACTCATAACCAAATACACAACTCAAAACACTATTGAAAGCTCTATTCAAAATTCACAACCAAACTCTTCTTAAAATTTGGTCAAAAATTAATTTTTCATTTTGGAATAAAAATAATAATTTCTATATTTAAAAAATATCAAAAACAAATATAATTTATTTTTTTCAAATAACATGTGGTGATTGGCAATTGGAAAAAAAGAAAAAAAAAAGGAATTGTTCCAGTCAACCAGCCGACATCCGGGGGATGTCCGAGGGACGATCGAAAGCGTAAATTCAAAAATCAAAAACTAATGCTGCCAAACAAGCATTGGATTGTGTTTTCAAATGTGACGTTATAATTAATTTTTAAAAATTTAAACCAAATATAACATTGGAATGTAGAAGTGAAATTATAATTTGAAAATTTTACCAAACACAACCTAATTATACACAATTTTTTAAATACACGTCATAGCTTTATCATTCATAACTTTTATCAAAAAAATCGTAACTTTAATCATAAAAATCATAACTTTTTTTACAAATATACATAGTAGCATTTTCCATTACTATGGTTTGGCATTAATATTATACAGAACTTATAATGATTATTTGTTCATTTTAGAGTATTATACAATACTTGACATTTATTAAATTACCAATAAATAAGTTAACACATCATATAACAATAGAAAATGATATATAAATCTATTTTTTGACTCATTTTTTAAATTTAGTAATATATCCAAAAAATAATTGATTGATAACTAAATAAGTATACTTTTTAATTTTTTATAAAATATGAATTGGGTTTGAAGTAATGTGGTAGAGAGATGATTTGACTTAAATAAGATGATGTGACTTAAATAGGATAGTGAGTTTTTGTTTTTTTGACCTTTTTAGATTATGACAAACAAGACCTAAACATTAACTAATCATCTTAGAGCATCTGCATAAAGCTCTTTAAAATTGTTTTTTAGCGAAAAACTTCAAAAAATCAATTGCATCAAACTCGTTTACAGTTTGTCAAAATATACGAACGTTACAGTAACTCGTTACAACAAGTGAGGTACTATTCATCGCTATTTGTGTGTTACCGGATGTCCACCTGAAAGTCCAGGCAGTCAACCGATCAATGACAATTTTTTTTATTTTGTTTTTGTTTTTTTTAAGAATTGTTTGGTTAATAATTTATCAATTTAATAATAATAAAAAAAAGACTAACAAATATAATAAGAAAATAATATTTAATAACAATAAGTTAGAATAAAGAGTTTGATACAGTAGATATTAAAAAGTGAGTAACTAAAATAATAAAATAACTTTAATTTAATTTAATTAAAAAATTGAAAATTTTAGTGTGAATGCTCTTATAAATATCAGTTAATCTAAAAAATGAATTTAAGTTTTGACCTAAATAACAATACTTGTATAATAACTTGAGCAAGACTATCTATCACATCAAATTTTTTCCCATACAACACCCGAATCATGATGATGATCAACAAAATTGACGCTGACAGAAGCTCTTCCAGTCCGTCCGATCAATATCCCCAATGGGGCGGGGATGGTATTCAAAAATTAATCCCCGATCAGTTTCAGGCCAGGGACAAGGATAACTGTCTCAGCCCCGTACCCGGCCCGGCCCCGGACCCGTCCCTGTTCCCCGGCCCCGTTTCCCTGATATAAAATTACTATTATACCCCTATATATATAAATCAAACCCTAAAACACACACAACTCTCACACGGTGTGAGTCACACCGCCTCTCTCTCCCGCTCTCTCTCTCTCTCTCTCTCTCTCCTCCGAGCTCACTTCTGTTAAAACACCACTCCCTCTCTCTCTCTCTCTCCCTCTATCTCTCAAAAGAGTCATTGCTTTAGCTTCCCCCTTCTGCATTGCCGTTTTCCGAACTTTCTCTCTCCACAAGGACTTTGTTCCTTCTTTCTACATCTTCTTCTTCTTTTTCACATCTCTCTTGCTTGTCGGTAGGATCCAAATATCTTCCCTATATATATATATATATATATTCACAGTAATGTCATTAATTGTTTCTTTCTTTATTAATGTCTTAACAGTTTCAATATTATTGTATTCAGACTCCAAGTTTTCTGTGCATTGACTGTTCTGGTGATCCATCTTAGTAAGAGATTGGTGCTCGAAACCATACATGTGAGAATGTAGTGTTCTCTAATCTACTAGTCTTTGTTTCTGTTGAATCTTACTTGACATATTTCATTCTCTCTACTTTATATGTCCATGAATTAGTGCCAATGCGTGATTTATTTAATTTCATCGGAAATAGGAAGATTTCAATGTGCTCCAAATCTACATATCTTTGTGTGAAAACTTTATTTTCAATCTGATTTATGCGAGGGGTTGCATCCTATTGTGCACATATGCCTTCCCTTCCTGAAATTTCAGTAGCCAAGACCGTGGTGCCAATCGCGCTTCCTTTCCTCTTTGGTTTTCACTTCATCATTGTTAAGCGTTCCTTTCTGTGGAATTTTTATTTTTTATCCTGGTTTTGACTAGAATGGCCGATGCCAAAGCAAAAGTTTGCATAATTGCAAGATTTAGTAGTAAGGCTATGTTGCACTTAAATCAATTTGGTGGGGTTGGGGTTTTCAAATTGTATATATTCATGAAGCAATAACCCCAAATTGTTGATGTTGAATGAATTAAATGTTCAGTAATAAGAAATTTGTTCACTGATGGCATTTCTTATATAAAGATCCATTTCCCAACTGCAGAGCTATGAACTATGAAGCACCCAGGTTCTAATACTAAAGAGGTAGAATTTGCAGATGAGGAGTCAAGATTATGACTACTGTGGCCTGTTGGTGAAGGACAGTGCTGGCATAGGGTAAGAGAGAGTGGTATGGCAGTAGGGCATCATAGTGATGGTGACATCCTCTCTTGTACTTGTTGAGAAGAGTGTGAGAAATATCCTCTCATGTCTAGGGACCATATGCTCGTCTCTCCCTTTTGTGTATCAGGTTTAGGGTGCTTTTGTATGGGATCAAGGACCATATATTGACTTGTGTTTTTGTAGAGTAGTGTCACCAGAAAACAGTAATATTCCAGTGATATACATTTTAGAACATACGTTTCAAAACATCGTACACTTCTCATTCAGATTGTATGTGTTGAATTGAAGTTTTCATGTTTGTGAGGATGGTCAGAGTTGATGCAACTGGCATCAGAAAGAAAATAAGTTGAAGAGTACACAGTTCACAATAAACTATGTTCCTTGATGGATTTCGGTGATGGGGTTGAATTAATCCTGCCAACCCGATGTGGTTAGATGAGGCATTCTTAATCTATGCTACATAGATTTAGGAATGGGTGTCAGGTGTGGGTTTGTGTCTAAGTATCAGATCCATTTAATTCTCATGTCTAAGGACACTAGAACACTGTTAGATTTCATTCCTTACATACGTAAAATAAAAGTCCTATGTATAGTTATATAGTAAACTAGACTACTTATACATGTTGGGTGCATATGCAACTAGCCATATCGGATACCTATCCCATATCTTTACCCAAGTGTTGAGTGTTCAACGTGGTTACTTCGCCAATTTAAAGGAGTCCATGTGACAGTAATCTTGATAAAATACAGAGTCATGTTTCGGTTTTCAACAACTTTCTTATACAAACTTCAGACATTTTCTTGTATGCCATATGATCAACAATTTTTACCATGTTAGAATCTAAATTCAGGTTCACTGTGTTTTTTTTTTCTTTTTGCAGTTTTTTTGTATAAATTTTCTCCATTGTTAACTGAAGACTTGATGTCCTGATGGATCACAAAACTTGGCTTTGGAAGAAAAAATCTACTGAAAAGACCATAGTTGCTGCCGATAAAGTAAATCTTTCTCATAATGGAAACGAAGAGGAGGTAAATGACAAATGCTTTTGTCAAGAGTAATGGTATACAGAATTCCATGTCTTATCCTATCTTCTCAATCCTAGACACAAAGTAGCATTACCTCATTTATAAATACACAGAGGACCTAATCACTTGTGTTGAGGGGTGAGAAAATGGGGCAAGAAAGGGGATTATGTGTAGCATTTTCTTTTCATCAATCTTCTTTTCTTTTACATGCTTTTTGTGTGTAAAATCAATTCACTTGCTCTCTGGTGTATTGCATCTTTTGTTATAGTTAAATATAGTGACTTCTATTATGCCATGATCTCATGAAAGTGATAGATCCAGTGCATATGCATATCCATGTCTTCTAACCCATTTGTTAGAAATAAGTGTTTAAGCTTAACTGCTTCTTTTTTACCTGTTGTTGTGGAGAGACTTCCCTCTCCAGGTAATGGTCTGATGGTAGAGCTGAAGCTTTTCAAGAAAATTAATATTAACAAATGAATTGGCTTAAAATGTTGGATGGTTACAGTAGTTCTTTTGACACTTCAAAAATAGAAGGAAAAAGGAAGAGCTTATTTCATTTTCATCAATTATTTGGAATATGGTCCCACACCTGCTCTTAGAAGGGGACTATTTTTTCTTTAGTTAGGTAGCTGTCCTGACCGTAATACCCTTTAAAGGTTGGGGAAGATTTATTGGCAATAAAAAACCATATCTCACCCAGACCTACCTACCCTGTGTATTTGAGAAGGAAGCTTGAACTGAAAAAGACCTGGTCACACACATGTAAGAGAGGCCGAAGGTACGCAGGCCCAGCCCTGAGGGGAGGCCACCAAGGCTGCCTTGGCCCCCCAGATTTTGGGGGAAAATATAGAGCCCCCAAATTATTTAAGCTGTTATAGATTAGAAAGTTGAAAATAGGGCCCGTTATAGTACCAGTTACCGTTGCCTTGGGAGAAAGAAACTTTTCAAAGTTGAGGTTCATCAAATGTTACTTTCAATCAACCATGTCACAAAAAAGGTTGAATGGATTGGCTATGTGTTTTTCTTATAAATTGGATTTTGCTCAACTATAAAGCAACATGACCAAATTTTTATCTTTTTGAGTACTTGTCATGATTTCTTCCTATCTATGTAAGTAAATTTTAGTGATTATATCTGCAAGTATACTTTGTATGGATACAAACAATTTTTTTTATAGGTATTTACTTGCAAGCTTCTATTTTTTTTTTTTTGAACGTAACTATGTAAAAGGGACCTCTTAAGATTTTTGAACAAGGCCCTATACTATGAAACACGGAGACTTCTAAGAAGGTGTTGTGGTCATGTTGGATACCGACACTCATCGGACACTTCTCGATTTTGTCGGACATTCATCAAAAAGTGTCCCTATTATTTTTAAACTTTTTAGACTCAGACACTTGGACCTCGTTTGGGAATACAATGTTTTAGCCAAAAAATAAAAAAAAATCACTACAAAAAATCAACTCATTTTCTCTACATTTTTGCAAGTCTTTTCATAAAAATTCAAAAAGTCACTAATAAAGTCAATTCCCAAATTCAGACACTTGAGGGATACACGTATTCATCAATTGAACGCACATGAAAATAATTATAAGTTTGAACAAAATTACTTAGGGTACAAAGATAAAAGAAGAAGAATTTAGATTTATAAAAATTAGTGTTATATAAAAAAAAAATTGAATAATATATTCATATATACGACATATAATATATAAAACTATACATTTTGTGTGTATCCACCACGTGTTGTGTCTTGCATTTTTTGAACATTGTCATGACGGTGTATCTATGTCGTGTTGCGTGTCTGTGTCCATACCTCTTAGGCCCTATCAAACACTTGGTAGACAACTAGTTTACTACATAAAGAAAATTTAATCCTATAATCTTCTTTGTTCAATAAATGCACCGTGGAAAGGGATGCTAGTTGGCTATAAAGTTCTCATTCAATAAGGGTGAAGAAGAACAAGAAGAAAATAGTCACACACACCAAAAAAAAAAAAAGTATTAGAAGAAGAAAATTGAAAGGAAACATAATATGTTCACTCAGAAAAATAGTCTTTTCCTGTTTTTCTGATCAATTGGAAACCAATGATCTAAAGATTTTTTAAGGGAGCTTAATTAAATGGATGTAATCTACATCAACTTTGTAGCAACATTTTAGCAAAATGTTTACCTGAGAGGAGCCTTCACTCTTTAGTGTTACTCCAGTTTCCAAATTAGTTGGAGAGTTCCCACTAGCAAGGCATACTTCCTATGTTCTTAAAATTAGTAATGTCACTTCTGGTACTGTATCCATTATTCTCAGATCATCCACTTGTTCCATAGTATCATATAAACATCATGATGCTATAGAGATCCAGAAGAATAAAGTGGATAACCTGCCGTATTGAAGATAGCTTATCTAAAGTTGGTATTTTTGCTGGCAGAACAACGATAACAAACTAATTCATCACTGTAAAATTTCACCAGTCCATCTGAAAGGCAAGTCCAGAGACAGAATTTTTGAATGTTTTTGAAGTGATTATGCTACTGAGAGTAGTTTACAATTAAAACTGTTCACACTAAACAGCCCCCTTTTTCTTGGTAAATTTAAGTTGGTCAGTCAGTGCCTTCAAGGAGAAAGATCCACTAACGTGTTTCTTGTCATCTTTTCAATAAATCAAGTTCCCAAAATAGGTGGACTTGAAGAAAATGCCAATCGAGACATGAGGATTTGGCATGTGGAAGCTCCTGGTGAACATTACATGGGCTTTTATGGTGGGGCGCAGTTATAAACTTGTAGCACAACCAACCAAATTGCTGTTAAAATAGTGAAAGCCTATCAAATTGGCAAGGAAACTATTAACCTAACTTCTTCAAGAGAAATAGTTGCATATATAGATTTGCTCATCTGAAGTGGAAAATGATGACTCTTAATTTGATTATAAATTTAATTTCTACCCAAGAGTCATTTTATATACTCAAGGCATTGCTAATACTTTCTTTCTTTGGATACAGAAAACTCAGAATGATAAAACAGAGTTAGAGAGAGATTTGAAACTTTTAAATGAAAAGCTCTCTTCTTCCCTTGCCGAGTGCAATGCTAAAGATAATCTTGTGGAAAAACATTCAAGAATGGCACAGGAAGCGCTTGATGGTAATTTATTGTATACTTATAATGTATATGTTTATATTCAATTCTCTAGCCCTTTTCATATGGTTTTGTATTCAGGTATGCCATTTACCATGGAAATGTGCTTCTTTTAAAATATATAATTTTGACTAATTTTCCTCCAATATATATATATATATATATATTTCAAGGTTGGGAGAAGGCAGAAGCAGAAGCAATGTCATTGAGGCAAGAATTGGATGAAGTTTTACAGCAGAGAATAGTTGGCGAAGAAAGATTAACTCAATTGGATATGGCCCTGAAGGAATGTATGCAGCAGTTACGTTTTGTTCGAGAAGAGCAGGAGCAAAGGATTCACGATGCTGTGATGAAGACATCGAGAGAATTTGAAAAGGCAAATATTTTTTTAGAGGAAAAGTTAGTCGACACCAATAAAAGGCTCTCCAAATTAGATGCGGAGAATACTCAGCTCAGTAGGGCTCTCTTAGCAAAGGAAAAGTTGATTGAAGATAAAAATGAACAAAGAACTCGAGCAGATGCAGACTTTAATGCCCTAATGACTAGACTAGAATCCACAGAGAAAGATAATGCTTCTCTAAAATATGAGGTTCGAGTGCTCGAGAAGGAGCTTGAGATCCGGAATGAGGAGAGAGAATTTAATCGTCGAACAGCTGATGTATCACACAAACAACACCTAGAGAATGTGAAGAAAATTGCAAAATTGGAGTCAGAATGTCAGAGGCTACGTGTCCTTGTTCGTAAGCGGTTGCCAGGTCCTGCTGCTCTGGCTAAAATGAAGAATGAAGTTGAAATTCTAGGCAGTGATCGAGTCGAAACAAGGAGAAAGTTGAGTGCTTCTCGAACTGGTTCAATGGACTTTGCTATGGATAACGCTCTTGATACACCCAGCAAAAGGTTCAACTATTTGGCTGAGCAGTTGTGTGCCATGGGAGAAGAAAATAGGAGTCTCAAAGAAACTCTTAACAAAAATACAAATGAACTCCAGTTTTCTAGAATCATACATGCTCGCAACACTTCCAAATTATCACAAGTTGAGGTACAGCTTGAAGACTCATCAATAGGCCAGACAGCACATGAATTCTCTCTTGCATCAATGTCTGACATGGGCAGTGATGACAAGGTTAGTTGTGCCGAATCTTGGGCTTCTACTATGATTTCTGAATTGGAGCATTTCAGAAATGGAAAACCAATGGGGATGCCAACACGAAAAACTGTTGGAGCTTCAGAGATAGATCTGATGGATGACTTTGCTGAGATGGAAAAATTGGCAACAGTATCCACAGATAAGCAATTTGGAAGTTCCCGTCTTGCTTCAGTTGAAGGAAGTGAAAATGTTGGTCCCTTACAAAGTCAGTCAAGTGGGGATTCCTCAGCGGCAGCAGATGGGAAGATAGTTGCGGTACCTGATTCTGGGTTGGGGCTCAGTGTCATAAACCAGGACATGCAGTCTGAAAATATGTTGATTGGTAAATATCCTGGTTGGCTTCAGGATATACTGAAAGTAGCCTTGGAGCAAAATCGGGTCACACACAGAAAGCCCGATGAAATATTGGAGGATATTAAAGTTGCTTGGCGATATATTAATAACACAAATTCAAGTGAATTTGTTGTTGTTGATGCAAGGGAAAGCTCAAATCAATTTAATGCATCAAATCACTCTGATGTTAGTGGCCAAATCTCTTGGAAACCTCCAAATAAATCTCCATCGGTGGATTCAAATAGTGGAATTATTAGTGATGAGATCTCAAGGGGAAAGAAGAGCAACCATCAGGTCCAGTCAAAACTGAGTAGATCAATATGTAAAACAATTGAGCTTATTGAAGGAATCTGTTTATCGTCGATGGATTATGGTGCCTCAGAAATCATTCCTGCAAAGGGTGGTAGTTTTTTCCCAAACAAGAATTCAGAAACACCTTCTGGCTACATGGTTCGTGTTTTCCAATGGAAAACTTCCGAACTCAGTGCTGTTTTGCAACAATTTATTCAAACCTGTAATGATTTGTTAATTGGAAAGACTGATGTAGAAAAATTTGTTGAAGAATTAACCTCTACTTTGGATTGGGTTATGAACCACTGCTTTTCTCTTCAAGATGTTTCAAGCATGAGGGATGCAATCAAGAAGCACTTTGACTGGGATGAATCACGAAGTGAGAGTGACGTAGAAGGGGGAACATTTAGTCAATTTTCAGAGCGCGCTCCCAAAGAACAGTCGTATTTACCTATTGTTACTGCTTGGAATTGCTACAAAATGGAAGAAACTCAGCTTGGTCTGAGAGAAGAAAGTGAACAACTGAAAGATGAATTGGCAAATATGGAATCAGCAAACAAGGACTTGGAAAGGAGACTCCAGTCAGAAATTTATAAGAGTGAACCTTTGGTGATCCAACTTCAAGAATCAGAGAAAACTACAAAATCATTGCAAACAGAGTTACAAACTTCAAAGGAATTGAAGGGCATGCTTGACAAACAAATTGAGAATCATAAGCTGGGAAATGGAGACCTCGATACACAGCTCACAGTTGAATTGAATGAGGTATTACAAAGTTTTTCATCTCGAGAAACAGAACTGGAGAATAAAAATAATTGCTGTGAAGAATTGGACAACGCATGTCCTGACCTAAAGCTTCAGCTAGGAAGGTACATTTTTTTTTGGAACTTCCAATTTCGTGGAAAGAGCACCTTTTTGTATCTATTGTAAGATATTGAATATCTGAAATATTTCATTTTCAGTGTTACAAAGAAAGAAATCCCAAAGCATGATGTGGATCAAGAAGAAAAAAAACTTCAAACTGTAAGTTCCTCATCTTATACATCTGCCATATGTAGATAGAATAAGGTATGATATGTGACCAAGGTCTTAGCTATTAGATCCTACTTGTAGTAGTACCATTGGTGATAATTGAAGCATTATGTGCAGTTTCCTTGCTAATTACCATGGAAATTTTATGCTGAAATACAGTAGATACAAAGCATTAAAAAAAATCTTCATTTCTAAAATAGTTAATTTTACTTCTCAACAGCATTTGCTGCCAAAAGAGAAAAGAAATGGCTTCAAGAACTTCTGATGTTTTATGCATATCAAATACTTACATTTTGAGATTGATCACGAAATAGAAAATGCCCCATTCATTGGGATTTTTCCTATCTGATCAGTGGCAGGCGGAGCATGGGCTCAAGAGGGGCACATGCCCCTCCTCAACTTTATTAAAAAATAAAATAACAAATTAGCATATGTATATATAATTGTTTCTCTATTTTCCCCTTTAAATTTTAATATACATTTTTTTTCTTTATTTTAAAGATGTTTCTATAATTTACTCCCTTTAAATGTTCATTTTACAATGAAGTCTCCTTTATGGGAATTTATTATTGTTGGTATTTTTTTTTTTCTTGTGTGATAAATATGTGCGTATGTAAAATGCTTACTTGTTATTTAATGAGATTTCTTAAGAAAATAATTCTCTCTCTCTCTCTCTCTCTCTCTCTCTCTCTCAAGCTGTATGAGGTATGGGTGGGGAATGACCATCATAGTCTAAGTTGGTGTCATGATTAGGGTTGGGAGTTAAATGCATTATGGGTGAGGCACAGTAGTGGTGGGAGAAACTATCGTAGGCATAACTTTTTTTCATATTGTCAAATTCATGGCTCCCATTTGAGAGGATTTATTTCTCCTAAAAGACTTCCGGAAAAACATTGCCAATTCATTTTTGGTTCACCACCAAGGGCCACCACTAAATGTTAGCAGTATTGTACTCCAAACTATTGTACTCCAAACTATTTGCATCAATTATGTTCAAGCGTTTTAAAATTACAATTTATGCTTTCTATATTTTGAATGTGCAACTGTTAATCTACCTTGTAGGACTGGGAAATCACAGCAGCTTCCGAAAAGTTGGCAGAGTGCCAAGAGACCATCCTAAACCTGGGAAAGCAGTTGAAGGCATTGGCTGCACCAAGAGACGCAGCACTTTTTGACAAGCTCGTCTCGGACAATGTTACCACAACCACCACCCTGATGAAAAAGTCCTCTCTGCTCGATAAAATGCTGGCCGAGGATAACGCTGAAGCTGGAGAGCGTAAATTTCCCAAGGCAAATGACATTGTTTACATTTCAGACCTTGAAACCCCTGCTCTTCTAGATGGCAGTCCAGGTTCTGCGTTTCACCCCAATGGAACAACAAATCCTCAAGAAAGCTTTCTTCGCGAAAATGGGATTAAACATGATGACAACGAGGCCTTAAGTGGTTCTCTGGCTATTGTGCCTAGTAAGAAAAAGGGCGGTGGAGGATTTTTGAAAAAGCTGTTATGGAGAAGAAAGAAAGGTAATAGCAAAAAAATGACCCTCTCAAAATAAGGAAATTTGCATTGATTGATTTATTGCTTGTTTGGAGTGAAAAATAATATGATTCGACACCGCTTAGTTATCGGGGAGAGAGGGTATGAAGGAAATTTGCATTGTTTTTGTGTGTACTACTGTTTTGTATATGTAAATGAAACCAAAAGGAGTGAGAATTTTAATGTGAATTCAAAAGTTTGTAGTTTACACAAATGTATCTTATCATACCTTCTAAATGGGATGCGTGCTTATGGAGAACCGTTTTATTTTTTTTAATTATTTCATTGGATGTTTTTTAAGAAAATGCAAGAACTATTCATATTACTCCGAGAAAATCAAATGAAAATGAGAATATTGAAACAGGCAGGAGCATAGGATAGATTTGGTTGTTGTTTGGCTAGAACATTTTTTCATTGGTTTTGTTTTAGTTGGAATTGAAAAGTTTGCTTGGGTTGATTTTTTTGACTTTTGTAAAAAAAAAAAAAAGTGAAATAATTATGGTTTTGATGTGAAATTTTTTTTTATTGGTTTGTTTAGTCTATTTTGGCTAGGTTTGGCATTTCCTAAAAAAGTCAAAAAATCACTATTCTATTTAAGCCACATCATCTTATTTAAGTTACATCATCTTTCTATCACATCATTTCAAATCCAATTCATATTTAATAAAAAGTCAAAAAGTGTACTTATTTAAAATATCTCAAACAACCCTTTTGTCTTTTATGTTTTTTTTAGTCTCAACTTTTTTTGCCAAACGGAGTTGATGAAAATAAGAAAAATATCAAATAAATAAAAATAAAAACTAAGAGCAAATTATATTGACATTCTCTAAGATTTGAAATATATACAGGGCTATTTTAAAAAGATAGTTAAAAGCTATCTTTCAGTTTTTAACCTATTTTTGGTCATGCATCTCATATTTTTTACATGTGTTTTTTAATAAAAAAAAAAAGTCAAAAAGTTAACTTTTAACCATCTTTCCATGTTCTTAAATTCAACTCCCATAGATGAGTTTAGGGCACGAAAGCCGTAGGTCTCAAGGCTTCGTGAGAAGTTAGGTTAGGGTTCCTCTCCAATGTAATCGTAAAAACTATCTTTGCCATTATTAATCATCTTCTGTGATGAACATGCCTGAATCTGGGGCCAATTGGGCTTCAAACCTTCGTTTGATCCAAACCATAAGTGAACCGGGCAAGACCCATGTTCATAGGACTTAATTGAGAACCGAGCTAATAAATGCCCTGGGCCGTTCGATCGAGCTAATATCTGGTCCGCTCAAACGACCGAACTGCTAAGTTCACCCATCAAGATCGAGGTGTCACTGCACCTCAAGTGACCAAGCTGAAGTCGAGCTTGTTTACGTAACGCGCTATCACTTACACTTGGCTTTTACTACAGAGTCCTAGGGGACCAGACACACCAACACCAGGGCTCTCAAAGACCGAGTAACCATTGTGCAATACATTACCAATTAAACACTATCGTGCTGAACAAGTCGGCCTTCCATGGGGTGCTACCGTTTCCTTGTTGATACACCGAGCATGCTAACCGCGTTCTGAGAAGAGTACTGCATCCCAACCGACGTACATCTAGAGCTCGGTGAAGAGGACATAAATCCATGGGGTAGGTTGGACTCCTACCCCTTCACCGTGCTGAGCATAGTAGAGGGTAGATTACGGTTCCCTGTTCAACCCTTGATATGCGAGTTCCTGATATGCACTGGGCTCGCTCCGACATAAGTATCCACCAACGCCTTCAGGATCATAAACGAAGTGGTCGAGTTAAACTACCAACTTGGTTTAAATCTGGGCCTGGTCGAGATCCTGCGTTAATACACGCTCGGTAAAACCAAAGATGGTTTCAACTACAATTTGAAAATAAGGCCGGGCAAAGAACGTTTAGTGACCGGCACGCTAGATAAGGACATACATGATGATGATTTCTTCTGGGTGTCCAGTAACTATGAAATAGCTGACGTGGCCGGCTGGTACATCAGCAAGAACTTCGGTTCTTCTTGTAAGTCCATCATTTTGACCGATTTATTATTTATGCCGAGCTAATTGTTTCCCTTTTATAATTATCGACGAGCTACAAGCCAACTACCAATATCCGAATGAAAAGGCGATCAGGGCCGCGCTGAGATACCAGCATCGAGATTGCCATGAGCTTTTCGATTACGTACCAAGCTACCGCTATTCAGCTCCATGCCGGAGCATGGTCACAGATTTTCTACGGACGCCTTCTCTGCCTCTAGACCCAACACTACCTAACGTTTCGCTTGACCGAGGAACAGGAAATGGCGAAGAGGAGTCGAATTAAGAACCTCATCACGACCACTTCAACCGAGCTGCTGAGCATCACCCCTCCAGTTTTCGTCGTTGGCCAAAGTTTAGGGACCGTGATTGCCCTGGCTTCCACGGTTGTTCCACCTACTGAACCTCACCGGGCCAGTAAGCGAGCCCGATCGGCCGACCCCTCCGCCGAGCTTATGGCCGAGCTAAGCACTAAGCAGCTAATGCAGGACGTTGAGGCCATCCTTCCATGGAGGCCGAAGTTCAAACACCGAGGTAAAGAGATTTTGATCAATGCGTCGGTCAATGGGGACAAGGAGCACCTCTTGACTTTTGATTTATCAAAAGCATTACTGTTGCCGAGCGACGTAACCGGGAGCGATCACGTCCCTGACACCTGGCTCGTGAAATCGGCGGTCAAATCCATGACAATGGTATGACTCAAAACTTTATCATGTTTTTGCTCGATTTATTTCTTTGCTCGGTCTAACTTTCCTTTTACTACTTGTAGGTCATTCAAAAATAGCATCTCGTCATGGACCGCATTGTCAATTTGTGCCACAAAGTGACCGAGCCCAATAACGCTGGCAAAAATGTCTCGGCCGAGCTAAGGCCTCTTTTGAGATCGCCAATGCGGACAATGCCTGGCTGCTCGACCAACTTGGTAGGGCCGAGCAACGCATTAAGAGCCGAGCTAGAGGAGGAGAAAAAAGCAAGGCAAAAGGCCGTGGATGAGACCAACAACCTCGGCTTCAAAAAGACCGAAGATAGCTACACCAAACAAGTTAGAGCCACCAAGGACATTTTCTTCAAGGCCGGTTGGAAGGCTGCTTGTGAGAAACTAGGCCATGGAGCTGAAACTGAGGTGTTCACCTCTCATCCCCCTGCTTTCCTTCCGGTCTATATGGTGCCTTATGCCAATGAAGTCTTTAACTCGCTGCAAGAGGAGGTCGAGGAAAAAGTTGAGGAGGAGGCCGAGAGGGAGGCCGGCCAGAAGGAGATCGGCGACAAAACATAAGCGGCCGTGGTCGACCGACCGCAATAGAAGGAGCCGGGGATGAATTCGCCGATCTCTCCCCCCTAGCGTAGTCATGAATTCTTCATATTTTTTGTTTTGGCTTATGTAACCAGGCTACCAACCTCTCATTTTGTACTTAAATTCTCAATCAATGAAAAGTTATTCGCATTTCGCTGGTATTCTTGTCATTATGTTGTGCTTCATCTTTCAACCGCACAATACGTGCCCGACAAAGTACCCACTGATTGAACCAGGAAAAACATCGCGGTCTTAAAAAATGGAACAAAACATCCACATTCTTCTTTAGTAAAAACTATTCACTGACTTGTAACTGAGCAAGATCATCTTGGATAAAAGCCTAGAACTGAACAATTCATCAACTATACCGAACAATCAAAATCATCTTGGCCAAGATCCTAGAGTTGAATAATTCGTCGACTCTTCTAGCCGGGCAAAGACATCTCGGCTAAGAATCCCAAAGTTAAATAATTCATTAACTTCTTTGGCTGAGCAAAAATCATCTCGGCTAAAAACATAGAGTTGAACAATTCATCCACTCTAATGGCCGAGAAAAATCATCTTGGCTGAAATCACGGAATTGAACAATTCATTAACTCCATTGGCCAAGCAAAAACCATATCGGCTAAAAACTTAGAGTTGAACAATCCATCAACTCCATTGACCAAGCAAAAACCATCTAGGCTAAAAATTTAGAGTTGACCAATTCATCAACTCCATTGGCCGAGCAAAATCATCTCAGCTAAAAACTTGGAGTTGAACAATTCATCAACTCTATGATCCGAGTAAAAATCACCTCGGCTGGGAAGGGGGAAGTTGCCCCATGTTCATTTCAATTCACTAAGCACGACAAATTGGCTATTTATAGTAATTCATTTCCATTACTTCCAAGAATTCACATTGTGGCAAAAACGAATACATTGGTAAATGGGGGGGGTGCTTACCCCTTACAAAAAATTACACTCAAAGATTGGAATTAAAAATAATATAACTTCAGATTTGCTCCATTCCATGGCGGGGGTATGGCTTTGCCATTCGAATCTTCTAGATGGTACGCCCCTTTGCCAGCCAGACCAATTATCTTGTAAGGTCCTTTCCAGCTTGCCCCTAGCTTTCCTTCGCCCGGCACAAGAGTGTTGCCCATTACTTTCTTTAAGACCCAATTGCCGACTTTAAACTGTCTGGGGTGAACTGTTTTGTTGTACTTTCGAGACAGTTCTTGTTGATACGCCACGACATGGATCAGGGCCCTTTCTCGACGTTCTTCTGCAAGGTCCAATTCCAATGCAATGGCTTCGGCGTTTAAGTCGGGCTCAAAACTTTCGCTGCGGATGGTGGGCATTTCGATCTCCAAAGGGATGACTGCTTCCATGCTATTTGCCAAGGCGAAAGACGTCTCTCCGATTAAGCGTCTTGGTGTTGTTCAGAAAGCTGAGAGAACACTTAGAAGTTCTTCGGCCCACTTCCCTTTGACTTTCTCTAACATTTTCTTCAGTCCATCTAGAATGGTTTTGTTTGATGCTTCGGCTTGGTCGTTGGACTGAAGATAGGCCGATGTAGAGTTATAGAATTCTATCTTTAGTTCTTCACAAAATCCTCTAAATAGTCGCCCGTCAAATAGTTTGTCGCACCGGCTTCAGAGTAGGACAAATGAGGTGCAGCAGTTAAACGCCCAACTGGCTCTACTCCAACGCATGTATAAGGATGCGCGAGCAGAGATAAGTGTGCTAAAGGCGGAAAATAAGGAGCTGAAGCGGAAGGCCACCGTGATGTTCCGATTTGGAGGTCCGCCATTTTTCGCCTTTAGCACACTTATCTCTGCTCGCGCATCCTTATACATGCGTTGGAGTAGAGCCAGTTGGGCGTTTAACTGCTGCACCTCATTTGTCCTTCTCTGAAGCCGGTACGACAAGTTTGTAACTGCAGTCATCGTCTCCACACATGACTTCAATGTATACTGATTCGCCTCAATATCTGATTGCGCTGCCATTCTTTGCTCCACAAACCGCATAGGAAAGGTCAACGGAGCAAACTCAGGGGCGTTTGCCCGAAGAAACCGTAAAAATCCCCAAATCACACTGGGAGAGAGAGCATCAAAGAATCTGAGACATGGAAGCTGATGTTTCGATCTGGAAAACCCTAATTTTCTCTCTCTAGAACTCATATCTCTTGCTCATGTTTTTTGGGTTTGTGTTGAATTTCTCAGATTTGATCAGAGATGTTTCACCCTCTACTTTCTCTTTTTCTGAGAAAAAAAAACCATTTACGGAAAACCCTCAGGCGATTTTGGGCAGGAATGTTATGAGGAGCATCTCCATCATATCATATGCTCTATGTCATGCAATTCAGATGCCACGTTATCAAGATGCTATATCTCCAGTGTTGTTGGTAAAAGTGCACTAAAGCACTCTTAAAGCACAACAACAAAAGTGCTTTAAGTAGTTAAAGCAAAATAGATTTACAAATGCACACTTAAAGCACAACTTATTTATTTTTTTGCGCTTTTTTAATAAGCTTAAAATGCGTTTTTTTTTTTTTGTTTTGTTTTTGTTTTTGTTTTTTTTTTTTGCGATTTACTGGAGCTACACGAACCAAAGTTCTACAAATTTAAATTAAGCAGCAGTTCCATATTACCTTCCAAATGTGCACCAAGCCCCTCCAGAACAGTAGGATTAGCTCGCACAACAGAGAGTGCCACATCAAGGGCAGACTGAAGCAATGCCTTAACCTCACTTTGAACAAGGTCGACAAGATGCCCCTATTGTGTTCAGCATGGATCAATACTTGCTCCAAATAAAGTTAAAAAAATAAAATAAAATAAACCGACAACAACATTAACCAGATAAGGCAAAGACAACCTGATCCCTTCCCCAAGGAATAGCTCCCCCAGATTCATCAGCCCCACCACTAGAAAGTGTTGCCAAAGAAATGGGGCCAATTGTCTGATTAAGACCATACTCAGCCACTGCCTTGTAGGCCATGTCTGTTGCTCGCCATATATCATCAAGTGCACCTGTTGACACACGGCCTGCATAAACAACTTCTTCAGCTGCACGTCCTCCAAGAAGAGTAACCAAGCGTCCATGTAACTCATCAACAAAGAGCAAATATCTATCCTCAGTGGTGGGAGGAGTGTAAGTAAACCCCAATAATTTTCACTTCCCTGCAACTGCAGCCTTCTCACTTCCCTGCAACTTGGCAGTTTTCTTTTCAATCCCAGCTATCGATCGCTCCACCGCTTGAATAAAGTCAATTCTCTCCAACAACAATCCCACTAACCAATGCCCTTTACTCTCTCTTTGACCCATCCACCGCCCAATTTTATTTTATTTTTTATTATAAAACTTAGTTGGTGCTCTCCCCACTCCATCCACACAATTTGTTAAAAAAAAAAAAAAAAAAAAAAAAAAAAAAAAAAAACAAACAGCAGACGAAGAAGAACTGCAACCACACTTATTTTATTCATATCAGGGATTCACCCCGCTCACCATTCTCCACCAAAAAAAAAAAAAAAAAAAAAAAAAAAAAAAAAAAAAAACAAAAAATAAGAATAACCTTGAATCCCAATTTTAAAAAATGAGATCATATTGAAAGAACAGGTCATTGAATGAAAATGAAACACAAAACGAATAAATCAAAATATATATATATATATATATATATATATTCAGCTTCATGTCAAATGGAAAACAGATAAAATGAAGGATTGACTACAGATTGGGATTCATAAATAAACAAACGCACGTATATATATATAATCAATCAATGAGTTCACTGTCTGCGTCGTCTTCGCCTCTCCATCTCTCAGTTCGTGTCTCTCCACCGCTGTCTCTCTCTCTCTCTCTTTGTCTCACGTCCCGATCATCTGTTAGGGCTAAACACAGATGATACAAAAAGAGATGAAAGTGAAAAAGAGGGGAAACTTAGATTTTGAGGAATAAAAAAGAAGTAACTTGATTAAGAGAGAGAGAATTGAATCTGATGGGGTGGAGTCCCTCCCTTCGCCGGCGCCGTTGCTGCTGGGTTCTTCTTGCCTCCACGGGATTCGTCGCCTCTGTCGATCTGATGGGGTGGAGTCCAGATTCGTCGCCTCCGTTGATCTGTCTAGGGTTCACAAAAGGAAAGGGGAAAGCAAAATGTTAATGTAAAATGTAAACATACCACGCACTCCACCTACCACCTCCACTACCACCCACTCCACCTACCACCTCCACTTCACCTCCTACCACCTACACCTACACCTACTACCACCATCTCTTCTATATATAGGAGTTGTAATATCAATTAATATACATCAATCAATAATCAATCATAATACATACAATTTATTCTCTCTGTATTTCTCTCTTTATACATCAACTCTCAATCATAACAGCCACATCCACAGGCCGGATTTTCTTCTCTACTCTGCCGCCGGTCTTTTCTTCTTGCCTCCGTCCTGGCCGGCCCTTGCCGGTGTTGCCTCCGTGTCACCCACTCCACTGGGCATGATCACTACTCCCTGCTCCTCCACTGCAGCATATGGCGGACCTCCAAATCGGAACATCACGGTGGCCTTCCGTTTCAGCTCCTTGTTTTCCGCCTTTAGCACACTTATCTCTGCTCGCGCATCCTTATACATGCGCTGGAGCAGAGCCAGTTGGGCGTTTAACTGCTGCACCTCATTTGTCCTACTCTGCAGCCGGTGCGACAGGTTTGTGACCGCCGTCGTGGTTTCCACACATGACTTCAGAGTATACTGATTGGCCTCAATATCAGTTTGCACCGTCATTTTTTGCTCCACCGACCGCATTGGAAAGTTCAACGGAGCAAACACAGAGGTGTTTGGTTGAGGTTCACTGGCCACCGCACCAGTTCTCTCTCTTGTTGACTCATTGAGATCGGGAAAGAGCGTGAGCAGCTCACGGGAAGACGAAGCCATTTTCTGGGCAACAGAGTGTTACGGAATATCTCTCGCAATAGAGTGTTACAGACTCTCTCTCTCAGCACAACGAAGAGTTTTTCAGACTCTCTCTCTCAGCACAACGAAGAGTTTTTCAGAGGATTTCGCAGGTTTTTTGCTTCTGCCTCGGCCTCAGGCTCTGTCTTGGTTAAATAGCCGAGGCAGCCACGCGCATCGCGCGCCTCTTGACGCCAGACGACAAACGGGCACGCCAGCCAAGGCACTCACGTGCCTCGCCATCATATCTGGCACGTCTTTTGATGCATTTGGGCACGCCTTTTGAGGGTGCGGGCACACCTTTTGAGGGCACGATTTTTGAGGGCTCGATATCTACATCCATGTATATCTTTTGGGCAGCCTATATACTCACTCATACAGTGTCTTCTACACCGGTCAGCTTTATCAATCCCTTTGTTTCAACCTCAAATAGGTTTCTATCTTCACACCTATTTGAGTTTGAGGGGGGGTTATACACAGTATCATGTATAAGTCGCTCATGCGCGCACTCCCTAAGTCGCCCCCTTGGTGCACCACCACAACGGTCCGACATGACCCCATAAACTGTCTTCTACACCGGTCCGACATGACCCCATAAACTGTTCCGACATTGATTCCGGTCAGCTTCTACAACGGTCCGACATGACCCCGTAAACTGATGATCCGAGTAAAAATCACCTCAGCTGGGAAGGGGGAAGTTGCCCCATGTTCATTTCAATTCACTAAGCACGACAAATTGGCTATTTATAGTAATTCATTTCCATTACTTCCAAGAATTCACATTGTGGCAAAAACGAATACATTGGTAAATGGGGGGGGTGCTTACCCCTTACAAAAAATTACACTCAAAGATTGGAATTAAAAATAATATAACTTCAGATTTGCTCCATTCCATGGCGGGGGTATGGCTTTGCCATCCGAATCTTCTAGATGGTACGCCCCTTTGCCAGCCAGACCGATTATCTTGTAAGGTCCTTTCCAGCTTGCCCCTAGCTTTCCTTCGCCCGGCACAAGAGTGTTGCCCATTACTTTCTTTAAGACCCAATTGCCGACTTTAAACGGTCTGGGGTGAACTGTTTTGTTGTACTTTCGAGACAGTTCTTGTTGATACGCCACGACATGGATCAGGGCCCTTTCTCGATGTTCTTCTGCAAGGTCCAATTCCAAGGCAATGGCTTCGGCGTTTAAGTCGGGCTCAAAACTTTCGCTGCGGATGGTGGGCATTTCGATCTCCAACGGGATGACTGCTTCCATGCTATATGCCAAGGCGAAAGACGTCTCTCCGGTTAAGCGTCTTGGTGTTGTTCAGAAAGCCCAGAGAACACTTAGAAGTTCTTCGGCCCACTTCCCTTTGACTTTCTCTAACATTTTCTTCAGTCCATCTATAATGGTTTTGTTTGATGCTTCGGCTTGGCCGTTGGACTGAAGATAGGCCGATGTAGAGTTATAGAATTCTATCTTTAGTTCTTCACAAAATCCTCTAAATAGCCGCCCGTCAAATTGGGTGCCATTGTCGAAGATTAGAGCCTTGGGGACTCAAAACTGTGTTATCACGTTTTGCCAGACAAACTTCTTTACATCCTTTTTTTTTTATTGTCGCCAAAGGCTCAGCTTCCACCCATTTGGTGATGTAGTCTGTTGCCGCTATGAAGAACTTGCGGTTACCCAGCACGGTCGGGAGTGGTCTCATTATGTCAAGCCCCCACATTGCGAAAGGCCAAGGACTTGTGAGAGGAAGGAGCTCCCTAGCCGGCCAGTGAATTTGGTGGCGAACTTCTGGTATTTCTCTCATTTTCTCACATATTTCTGTGCATCCGCTTGCATACATGGCTACCAGTACCCTGCGAAATACCGCGGTAAGCTAAAGATCTTCCGCCGATGTGGCTTCCACACATGCCTTCATGAATTTCGTAAAGGAAAGCTTCGACTTTGTTCGGGTGAACACACTTGAGGTATGGACCGATGAAGGATTTCTTGTACAAAGCACCAGATGGAGAGAGCTAAAACCGCTCAGACTTCACCCAGACTTTGTGTGCTTCTTTCTTGTCGTTCGACATGATTCTTTCTTTGAGGAAGAGGACAATGGGGTCCATCCAAGAGGGTCCTAGCTCGGTGCAGAGAACTCTCATCTGCTGTAAGTCTTCAATGCTGGTCCTGGGAAGGAATTCAATTAGGAGAGGGCTGGGGGTTGATTTGTCAGCCATGAAAGCGAGACCGGCCAACTCGTCGGCCTGGTCGTTATCTTCTTGGCTAATTTTTTGGACTCTGATGGCTTGGAACTTTTTGATTTGATCTCTGACCAACGTTTGGTACTTGGCCACTCTATCATCTTTGGCTTCTTATTCCCAAGATATTTGGTATACAACGAGTTGAGAGTCACTGTAAACCATCAGCTTGGATATTTACATTCAGAGTGCGCTCTTCAGACCAGTTAGGAGCGCTTCATACTCAACCTCTTTGTTTGACGCTGGAAATCCTAGCATGATGGAATGTTCAATGGTCAGCTCGTCTGGTGAGATTAGAACTACCCCCAACCCGGCTCCGTGCCTATTTGCGGCACCATCGACAAAGAGTTTCCACATTTTGCCAATGGAAAGCTTCCAACACTTTGCGGGGTTGTGGGATGTGCGAAGTTTCATGAGATTAAAGTTGCTCGACTACATTAGCGGCAAGCTCGCCGTTGACAGTTGCACCAAACATGTCTTCATCCCCCTTTGGCGATGCGGTGTTAGATCCAACAGGTTGTCCTGTCATTTCCAAATCCAACGGCGCATTGCTAGGCTGAAGTGGGCCTTTGAGTAATGGGTCAGTAGATGGGCGAGCAACTTCCGCGTCGTCTTTAACATTTGGTTGCATGAGGGGTTGTGCAACTTCTGCCAGGCTGACCATTGAAAGTTCGATTGCGTCGGTAAGATCCACCGGGCAAATTGGATGAACTCCGGGAGAGAATTTCACAACAAAGTCAGCCAAGGCTTGGGCTTTGATTGTAGTTTGGGGCTGAAGCTTGACGTTGAACTGCCCCAACTCAACTACCCATTTAAGAATTCGGCCGGAAAAGTCTGCCCGCTCAAACAAGGCTTTCAAGGGAGACTCGGTCAGTACCACAATAGTATGAGCATGGAAGTAATGTGGCAATTTCCTTGAGGCCATCATTAGCGCCAATGCGAGCTTCTCCAACGACAAGTATCTTGACTCAGCTCGGAGCAAGGTTTTACTCATGTAGAAGATTGGCAGGTTCTGTATGCCTTCCGCTCTAACTAGTACCGCGCTGATTGCATGTTGAGAAACGACCAAATAAAGGTAAAGGTCTTCACATTGCTTCGGCGTGACCAGGAGCAGAGCAGAAGATAGGTACATCTTTAGCTCAGCTAAAGCTTTGTCGCAATCTTCGTCCCATGAGAACTTGGACTTCAAGGCTCGGAAGAAAAGTCGGTAGCGATCTGATGACCAGCTTATAAATCAGTTAAGCGCAGCTGCCATCCTGGTAAGATGTTGCACGTCCTTTGCCGAGTTGGGTTGCTTCAATTCTTGTATGGCCTTGATTTGAGAGGGATCCTCCTCAATGCCACGGTTGGTGACCAGAAAGCCCAAGAATTTCCCCGATCCCACGCCAAAGGCACATTTTGACGCATTCAAGCGCAACTTGTGTTGTTTAAGAATGGTGAACATCTCCTCCAAGCCTGACAGGTGGTCGGCTGCGTGCTTGTTCTTCACAACCATGTCATCAATATATGCTTCCATTGTTCGGCCAAGCAAGGGAGCGAATATCTTTGTGACCATCCTTTGAAAGGTTGCCCCGACGTTCTTCAACCCGAAGGGCATAACTCGGTAGTAGAACAGCCCCTTTGGGGTGGTAAAAGAAGTAACTTCCTGGTTTGGCTCATGCATGATGATCTGATGATAACCATGGTAAGTGTCCAAAAAGCTAAGTCGGTTGTGGCCGGATGTAAGGTCCATCAATTGGTCGATTCTGGGCAAGGAGAAGCTATCTTTAGGACAAGTGCGGTTGACCGTCTTGCAGTCAACACAAACTCACCATTTGCCGTTCTTCTTCAGCACCATGACTATGTTGGAAACCCATTGAGGGTAATGCACTTCCTGGATTGGTGGCAAATAAAATTTGGATCGACGCTAGGCATATCGTAAGGCGTCTATGCAAACACTTCAATATTCGCCACCAAAAACTCCACCACCTCTAACCGTTCTTAGGCGGTCAAGTTAGATCTCAACAGAAAGAACTTCTCAAGATTAGCTTCGTCGATCATCACCTTCACTAAGTCTTCAACAGCCTTTTCTTTGGCCTTGGTACCCACATCATCCAGCACGTTCTGATCCTCCGGACCTTCAATCATTTGCATGAATCCTTTGGCTGCATGGCTCCCATTTACCGCCACGAAACACTGCTTAGCCATGACTTGATCGCCTCAGATTTCTTCAATCATCCCTGCAGCTGAGGGAAACCTCATGACTTGGTGGTAGGTCGAAGCCACTACTTGCATGGCATGAAGCCATTCTCAGCCTAAGATCAGGTTGTATATGGAATGCACCTTCAATACCCAAAACTCCACCTATTTGACCACGGATCCAGCTTTAACCGGTAGGATTATCTTTCCCATAGGCCACTTTGATTGTGAATTGAAACTGACCAGTGGCGAAGTTGTTGGAGCCAAGTCTGTATCTCTTAGTTTGAGCTGCTTGAAGGTGTCGTAGTACATGATTTCGATCGTGCTACCTTGGTTGATCAGAATGCGCTTAACGTCAAAATCCCTGACACGAAGTATGACCACCAGTCCGTCATTGTGTGGCGTTTGAATTCATTCAAGATCCTTGTTTGAGAAGCTGAGTACATCTTTCTCTTCGATTTTACCCCTTTTGACCGCGGGATGGATAGACAGGACTTCCCGCATATGTTCTGTTTTTTTTATCATCCCTTGGAGCTCGCATACCCACGTTGGCTCGATGATATCATGGATCACATGGATCACACCTCGTGGGGGAGCTTCTGGGGAGGCCAAACCACTCTGTTCAGCCGGGGCGTGCAATGTGGCCATGATGCCTCCGTCAATGTAACGATCCAATAGTCCGGCGGTCACTAACTCCTTTAAATGTTGTTTCAGAGGCAGACAGTCCTCGGTGCGATGCCCTCGCTCGCCATGAAAGGTGCTACGATATCGCGGATTGAAGCCTTTTTGTAAGTCGCCCAACTTAGCCGGAAACTGGACGTAGACCTCGTTACGGATTTTGCTAAGGATACGGTAAATTAGGATCTTGAAAACCGTGGTGATGCTGATCCGGGCATTCATCTTTCTCTTCACTTCTGTCACGGCGTCACAAGGGTAATCAGCTCAATCAGAGCAACGACTCTTACCCCGATTGCTGCGGTTTGAACCTCGGTTTAACTCTCTTGCGCGATCACTTGGACAGTTTACCTCTTGTCCAGTCGCATGAACCTTTCCAGCCACTCTTTTGTCCGCAGCCACTGAATTCACCTTCACAGTGGCCGTGGTAGCATCATCCTTTACTCTGATGTGCTCGTTGATGCGCTGCATCAATAGCTCCATTGTTGCTGGTTGGTTCATGGTAAGCGAGTCCCTCAGTCTATGTCCGACTGGAAGACCGCGTTTATATTGGGTGGTTGCCAGGTTTGTCGGGCAATCAAGGATTTCATTGAAGGTTTCCCAATACTTGGCGTTGTATGATTTGAGTAAGTCGCCCGGTTCCATCTTGATGCTCAGAAGGTGGTCGACTTCCTTCGGTGTTTTGGTGTTTGTTTTGAATCGGGTCATGAATGCTTCCGCCAACTGCTGCTACATTTTGATATTCTCCTTTGGCAGCCTTTCGAACCATTTGAAGCCTAACTTGTAAGAACCTAAATTTTTAGACAACTAATTAGTTTATTAATAATAATATTAAACCAATCAATAGTGATTATTAAACTATTAAATTATAATATTAATAGCACCATAATTAATATCAATATTAAATTATTTTAAATAAAATTATTTATCTTGATGTGATTAAAATTCTGTATCAAAATACAGTTGTGAAAACTAAATGGATTAAATTGATAGTACATAAGCTAGTTAGAATTTAGTAGGAAGAAAACCATCCAGTTGAAAATAATAATATTAAATAATTATATTAAATAAGTAAACAAATAAATAAATTATATATACATATTAATATTGTATTGACACCAATTTCAATTCAATTTAATTCAATTCAATTCAAAAAAAAAAAAAAGTGATCAAGTTGCAAGGAAAGTGGCTGACTGCCACTTCCTTTTCTTTTTATCTAGGTTACTTGGCTTGCATGCTTATTTTTCCCCAAGTCCACACTCAACCTCCCTAAGAGAAGTAGGCATGCAATGGCATTCCAAGCCTTGATTAAGGCAGCCACGGCAGGCACAATCTGTAAGCTACCATCTAAACATTAGATGAGAGTTCCTAAGCAAAAAGGAGAAGTAAAGTATAAAAATAAATAAATAAAATAAAATAATAATAATAACAAATTAGGCCCCCAAACTCCTATATTAGGAGCACTATTCAGCCTTATTACACACACTTGTAAGAGCAAAACAAAGAGAGAACAGAGGGAGAGAAAGCAAGAGGGAAAAGAGGAGCACTATTCAGCCTTATTACACACACTTGTAAGAGCAAAACAAAGAGAGAAGAGAGGGAGAGAAAGCAAGAGGGAAAAGAGAGAAGAGAAGGAAAGAAGAGCCCAACACTTGGGATTTTTTTTACTTCACTAAGGTAAGAATACATCACCTCTATCCTCCCTTAGATACCTCTAACTGAAATTATATAATTTATATATACAAAACTAAGCATGGTTAAGTCATGTATAGGAACTCTCATCTAATGCTTATGTTATAATTTCATATTCCTTCTTGATATAAATATATGGCTTAGCTACTGTTTTTATGTGTTCAATATTCTCCATTGTTGATATAATCTTGCAAAAGAGTAAAATGAGATGACAATGGCTTCCCTTTACCTGAAACTTAGATTCTTCCTCAATGTCTCAGACTTTATCGGATGAAAAGAGGGCTCTAATAAATTGAAAATAATTGATGTTAAAAATCTGTGTATACTGGAAGCATATATAGGTGTTATACACTGTGTAAAATTTTTATAAAATCATTGCACACTACGAAAACAAATATTTTCCCTAAGCGTCGCTTACAACACAGCAGAAGCAGTAGCTTCAAACAGGTCCCATTTTCTCTACAAATAGTATTTTTCTGCACGACTACTTGGAAAAGTTAGATTCTTAAGTTACCTTTCAAACGCCACTAGTTTCAAAATTTTTTACTAAGTATTGAGAGGGAGACGCCAATTTTTCCAAAATGTGACAGTATCTGTCCAGTTTTCTTATAAAAATTATTTGACCTCCTTCGACTGGTTTTCAGTCTTCACACTCTTCTGGAAATATGTTCTAAACTCAAAAATTTAGCAAACCATTCTAACCATGCCTCTTTTCGACACCATTTGAGTACCCTTTTTATTTTTCGAACACAGAACGCCTGTGCTGATGTTTTCATGGCCTGACTATATTTTTTTACTTCATTGCTGTTTGAAGGCAGCAGCAATGCTGACTTTACCAGGTCACCGTTTATTCCACAGAATAAATTTTCAAGTGGTTCAAATTGGAAAATTTAGATTTTTAAGTTACCTTTCAAACGCCGCTGGTTTCATAATTTTTTATTAAGTATTGAGAGAGAAACACAATTTTTTTTCCAAAATGTGATAGAATCTGTCCAGTTTTCTTAGAAAAATTATTTGACCATCTTCCGTCGATTTTCAGTCTTCGAATCCTTCTGGAAACATGTTCTAAACTCAAGTATCTAACATGCCATTCTAACCATACCTTCTTTTGACACTGTTTGAGGCCGCTTTTATTTTTCCAACACAGATCACCTGTGCTGGAAGTACTATAACTCACTGTCCCAGAAAAACCAATTTTCTTTCAAAATTTATTTCTCCCTTTGAAAATCATTTTCAGCTCTGGTATTCCTCTCGGAATATTTTCCTAACTCAATGAATTAGCACCAGTTGAAATATCATAATGATTGAACATCGTTTGGTATGGGTTTCATATTTTTTTTACATACAGTGCTGAAGAAAATAGTGTGGGAATTCCTAAGAAATTTTGTGATAATTCCTAAGACATTCTATCATATTTATTTTGGTTGCCATACATGATTGTGTAGCGCTATATAAACATTATGACACTGTGGTTTTCAAACTAAAACTCAGACATGCATCAAAATGTGAATTTGACGAAGCAACGAAACACGAAATTGAATAGATGCATTAAAGTTTACGAGTGATGGGATGAGCCCGGTTTAGAAT